TTTTTTTACTTTCTTTTAAACCTTTATTATCCATAACAGTGGTTTTATTACAGTTTTAATCCAAGTCCAATTATTAATGTTAAATATGTTGCAACTTAAGAAAAAGCTGGTTTTTTTAGTGAGTATGCCTATTTTAGGAGATTCTCACACGAGACTGTGTCTTCTGACATAGTTAGCCTATAAAAGGTTTTTTGAACCACTTAGAGTTATAAGTATGAATCCCTCCTTACATTGTCCAGGAGGCGCATATATTTCTATATAGATTCTTCTCGTTTTTATATAGTCTAATATATATGATTTTAAGAAAAAAAAAAATCCCTCAATATGAGCCCTGTGTGTCTGACTTTAAGGCCGCAGGTGGTATTAAGGTAGTAGATTAATCTTACCTTCTCAGAATTTGGTTTTCTTTTTGGGTTGTTGAGAAAAATTCATTTTTTATTTCTGTCAAATTTTGTAAAATTTTCAGCAAAAAACATCATTCTACAACTCCAGAATTTGGAAAATCTGTTATATTCATAAAAACAATAGAAAATCCCTTGAAAGATCCATTAAATTATATAAACAAGGTTAAGGGTATACCTGAGTATATTTCAAATATTAGATCTCAATTGCAGTATCATGGTTCTGAAACTTTCGAAGATTCCTCCGTGCCATGTCAAAATTGCAGCAATTAAAACTGAACAACCAACATGCAGCAATCATTGTAATAATGGTAAATCCTTGCGGTAGATAATTCTGGGACTATTGTGTGAGAGAAAGATTGAGAATTTCTGTTTGTTGTTGCTTTCAGTGATTTAATGTGATCCTCTTAGTTGACATGGAAAAAGTTTGTAAACTTTCAAGTTCGATTGAAGTTGTTTCAACCTTAAATAAAAGTCACTTTAGCATTAGATCTTATTCTGTATCAAACCTAGTTCAATTATGAATTGTTTGATTTTGGTGGAGATGTATGAGGAAGGAGGTATATTTGAATAAAAAATTGGTTGCGGATTCTTTATGGCTGCAAAAAAAAAAATAATAACTGCAACTGATCTTAAACACTGGCTCTCAATGTAGACTAACCTAAGTTCAGAATAGACCACAAATGCGAAGAAGACCCCGACAACCCCTGTCTTCCTCCAACAGACGCCGGGCTCACTTACAAGTTAATTCAATAAATAAATACGATTAATTAATTTTCTATTATAAACTCTACATAACTACACATTTTTCACCATGTGAATTATTCTTTAATTCATTATATCTTTCTCTATCTCTTTCTTTAAGTTTTTCTTTCACTTCTTTCGGGAAATATTTCTTCATTAATTCCATAGATTCTTCATCCAAATTAGAAGAATCAGCTTCTAATATAGCATCAGGACGTCGACAAATTGGACAATTTGTTTTATTCTGTTGTTTCAGTTTTACTAAACATCGCACACAAAATAGATGTCCACATACTAATCTGATTGGCTTATAGGCTATACTCATACAAATTGGACAGGAATAATCGTCTAGTTGGGGGATGACGTCTAATACTTGATTTTGAATTATATAACAAATAGATTGCGCTAATGAAGTTCCAGTCATGAATATATGATCATTAGATATCAATTTTGGGAATGTATGTTTTATACCTAATGAAGTTTGTTTATCAAATTTTTTAAGAATTTTTCTAAATGCTTCATTATTAATTGATTGGAATTCAAGAACTTTCCATAAATGATAATTCATTTCCACAAATTTATTAAATACTGCCACGGTTTGCTTTCGTTTTAAATGTGTTAATACTCCAGATTTCTCCACATTTTCTATAAAATGATCAAGATTCTTTTTGATTTGTTCACCATTTCGTTGCGAGGCAGGCATTGACATTTGATTATATTTGAAATACACTTCTGAATCAATATATATTCTGAAAAGTTCTCTCCATTTGTATAATTCAGCTTGATTATTTCTGGCGGAGTTGACAAATTTGGCAATTTCTTGAACTTCATTAATAATTTTAGCTTCTTCATTTTGTCGTAATCTATCAAGATTTCTTAATTCTTCATCTAGCATTCTAAAAAATTTCGAATCTGAATTTAACATAATACAAATCTCATGCTTTCTGGAAGGACGAGGCGTTTCCAAGGGTGTCAATACTTCAGAATCAATGTTTCCAATCTCTTGATCAATCAGATTTAAGGGTGGAGATCCAGGAGGAGATTTAGATCCTTCTCGACTACGAGCAACTATGCCCCCATTATCTTCAGTAAGTTCAATAATCCTATCCGTTTCTTCCTTATTCAGAAAATGTCCATCAAATATAGATTCTTTATCAATATGACTATTATCAAATAAATCTTCATCATCTAAGATTCCTTCAATTTTTTGTTTTATCTTTAAACCCATTTCAGAAATCCGAACATCACTATAATTTTCATTAGAATAATCTAATACGATTTTCAACATAGGTTTAACTCGACATTCAGGATCATCATTTGATTTCGTTAGGATATATTCTGCAATTATTGGATTGGAAGGATTGGTTTCTTTGGCAGTTAATTCAACAATGTTATCATCATGATCTTTAACTAATAATTTTAGGGTTTTTCTTTCTAATCCTAAGAAATTCAATTCATTAACTACTTTATTGATACATTTCTTTAATGCTTTATATTGAATAGCTGCTTCTACCCATTCTTCAGGCATTTGTTCTTCGGCCAAAGTACGTTCAAGAGTTTTAGCAAACTTCATTTTTGTGTGTGTTTATTTGAATATTAATTATTATTTTGGTAGTTGGCGTATTTTGATAGTTGTAGGATAATACAAATATATTGGTTTGTATTGTTTATTGCATAGTAGATTTACTTATCTATAAAACCTTCAAGTAGTTAAAGTTAGCTCTTCGAAACAGTTGACAAAACGTGGCAACAAACAATGAAAGTCAAAACAAAACATAAAATTTAAATTTTCGACAAGGCTAAAATTGAAAAATTGTCGCATCCCGTCATCTCCCCTGCAACGGTTCCAAGAAATTTCTTTAAGTTACACACCTCCTCTCGCAAGACACAGCATTTTGAGAGCTGTCTCATATAAAATAATATAGTTTCCTTTAAAGGAAACCATTCCAGTTACGATAGCATGATATATCAGTGGTGAATGAATTTAGAAAAAAGTTGCAAAATCCAGTTGACATATGTTAGATAGCTAAGAAAATTTGACATAATTCAAAAACCAAGAAAAAGTTGATTAATCTCGTAAAAAAAAAGATTAAAAATGCAACCATTCTTACTGTAGTTTTTGCACCCATTACGCAGTAATATACTTGAACCGGCTCTATGAGTTAGAATATCTAGAACTTGCCTTAAGCAAATGTATACCTTACAGGGTAACCTAATGTCTCTATACTTTGCTTCTGTGTTGACTAATTAGAGTCAATATGTATCTCCTGCGTGCGCGACCTAGTTTCTCGTGGAACCAAGAAAGCTTAGAGATTGGATGGCACGTCCTATTTGTCACCCTGACCACCCGAGCTGTACATAAAGCACAGGGACCAAGTCTCTTCATTTGCAATGCCTCTCTCTTTTTCATGAATTGAAACAGCGATTTTCAAGAGAGAGCCTTTCAGTAGAGAATTTCTCAAATAGAGGAGGGAATATTTCCTTGCATACTGAAGCTCCCCAAGACATGATCGCGCGAAGAATACCCAAAACAAGCCAGACATTCGCAGACCGAAAAAAATTAGCCCAAACTAACCGAAAAAATTTCTCTTCTTACCATTTGCAGCAATTCATCATCCCCATCCACTCCAAAACCCCAAATTCAAGCAGATCCAACGATATATAACCACCCCAGGGGCAAAAAAGAAGGATTTTCCGATACCGGGAGTCGAACCCGGGTCTGCTCGGTGAAAGCGAACCGTGCTAGCCGTTACACTATATCGGATTGGTTTCTTGATGAAAAATTTGCTGGGTTTGAGATGAGTCGGCATACGTCACTAATATGCAGGAATATAAAATATTATTCGGACCAAAGCCGTATTTATATTTACGGGGTGCAAGATGGGCCGTATCTTTCATATGACACTTGTACTGGGACCAAAGTAGTTCACATTGTAGTCAATGTCCTTAGGTATATTTTCGCTTTTGTCTGTAGGTTATTGCTTTTTTCGAGTTATGAAGGTCTTTCCTCATTGCTTTTCCCTTGTGGCTTTGTATCGCGTGCTACAACGAGAAGCAATTGACTCTCGCCTAAAAGCAAAGCAAAAAAAAGTTTTTCTCCAGATCACAAAGATTTCAGCAACTCATCATCTCTTGATATTCATCGATCACAATATAATGACAACAGAAGAATCAGTTTCTCAAAAGGTAGAAGTATTATCAATCAACGATAGTACACCCGAACTCCCCGGTCCAATCGTTCCTCATGAACGACAAATTGTCGATGGTGTGATTGCTATTTGGAGAGAAGATCCCATGACTGAATCATTAGGAGTAGGGAAATTGCATGCGATACTTAAAGAAAAGCATCCAAATTGGTCAGTTTCTGAAAAGAGAATGAAATCATTATTAAAGAAATTTGGATTATTAACAAATAGTTCTCAAGAACAATTCACTTATGCTTCTGATATTAAATCTGAAAAAACCCCCGATATTGAATTACCTCCAAAAGTTCAAATCGTCATGACTTCTAAAAGAGGGAAAGGATTATATGCTAAACATAATATATCAAAAGGTGATTTAATTTGGAGTGAGAAACCATTATTTTTCATTCCACCTTTAGCTAATATTAATTTAATGAAAACAGGAACCGCTTGTAGTTATTGTGGGAAATTATTACAACAAAGTGAAGGCGCTACAGTATTAAGAGGGTTGGATTGTAATATATGTTCAGAAATTTGGTGTAGTAAACAATGTAAACAACTAAATGGGGATTTACATGGATTATTAAAACATAACGTCTATAATCCAAATTCAAAACGATCAAAACTTATTGATGCAGAAGCATTTTTACAATTACAAGATTATTGTTTACAAGAACAATGGAATGCCCTTTATGCCATTACATTAATCTATGCAGATATGTTGATTGACAAATCTGGAGTTAAGGCAAAACAATTCAAAGCTATGGCTAGAGTATCACAAGATATTAGATATAAGGCATTAAATTCTTCAGCTGGTGCATTTGATAACTTAAGTGGAGGAGCACTTTTTGTTCAAGAACAACAAGAAGCATTATGGAAGATTGGTTATGAAAAGTTTCTTCATGTATTCCCATCTAATCCTATTGATTATAAGGAATTCTTATATATGATGGGGACCTATAATATCAACAACTTAGATTCTAATGTATTTTTGACTCAATCTCATTTAAATCATAATTGTGACCCAAATACTTCAGTTGAAACTGAATTAAATAGAACTTCAGGATTAAAAGTATTTGCAGCTAAAGATATTCGAGCAGGAGAAGAATTAACTACAACTTATGTAAACCCTAGTCATACAGTTCATCAAAGGCAAAGGGAATTAAGAGTTAATTGGGGATTCATTTGTGGTTGTCCTAAATGTAAAGATGATTTAAAACAACAGCATCGTCGTAAATCTTCTAGTTCAAGTACTCATAGTGCAACAACAGTTAGAAAAATGTTACAAGAGGTTGGAAAACAAATTGAACAAGGAGAAGAAGAAATTGAATTGGCTATACCGAGTGTAGCTGGAAACATGGAAAGAAGAAAGTCAGTTAGATTTGATGAGAAAGTTGTAGCTCATAGTTAGATATTGTATATGTAGACTTATTGTAGATTGTGTAAAGTAGTAGAAAGTGTGATTGTGAAAAATTCTGTAATGCGAAACCGGGGATGCATTTGAAGGAACACAATGAATGAAAAAAAAAATAATGAAAATTCTCGACAAGTATTTTACAATTAGTCAAAGGCTAAAGAAGACAACTCCCCAGTTAAAAGATATGCAAGGATACGACGATAATACATATGGGGATAGTGAGGAACTAACACACTATCAACAACAACCACAGCAACAGATGGATGAACAGCCCGAGGAAGAAGAAGAACAACAACAGCAACTCGGACATCCTATTGTTGATGAAGCTGAATTATTAGCAGCACAAGCAGCAGCAGAAGAGGCAGCAGCACAACAGCAACAGCAACAAGTCGATGCGTTTAATAATGTAGCACAGGGACTTACTGGGAAATATCGGGATATGATGATGCAATATTGGCAAGAAACAATTAATTCAATTGAACATGATGAACATGACTTTAAGAATCATCAATTACCATTGGCTAGAATTAAAAAAGTTATGAAAACTGATGAAGATGTTAGGATGATTAGTGCAGAAGCACCGATTTTGTTTGCAAAAGGATGCGATGTTTTTATTACTGAATTAACGATGAGAGCTTGGATTCATGCCGAAGAAAACAAGAGAAGAACCTTACAGAAGTCGGATATTGCAGCTGCATTAACTAAGAGTGATATGTTTGATTTCTTGATTGATATTGTACCTCGTGAAGAAGAGAAACCGAAAAGAGCATATGGTCAGTCCAGATCGGCAAGTTATGTCAATCAACCAACATCAACAATAGTAGGGCCCTCCTCCTCTCAAGGACCTCCACCCGTCCCAGGACAACATATTCCACAAGAGCAGCAGTCACAGCTGCAGCAACCTGGTCCACATGACGATACGACGATACATGAGCAGCCTGAAGATGTTTTGAAACCAGAAGGATCAAAACTGGATATTTTGCAGCAACAATTATTACACGAACAAATGTTACAACAACAACTTATGGACCAACAACAACAGCCGCATCAGCCACAGCAAGAAATGCAACAACAGCAACTTCCGCCACCACCTACACAGGAGCATTCACAACAACAACACCAGTCTTCACAACAGGGAATACAGGAGGGTGGACTGATTCATAATTCTATACCTCATCAAGAGAATAGAGAGAATAGTTATTCAAACTATAATGGGTATCAAGGAACGTTCTAGAAGAGTAGACGGACGGGATGTTTAATTGTAATTTTAGAGATGGTTTTGTTTTTCTAGAAAGAAGTGTTTTGTAATAATATTATGTATACATAAAAAGTATTGTAAAGTTTTGTTTGTTTTTGATTAAATGTACTTGTAGAACGAAAGAAAGAGAGAGCGAACACATACTGGCGGAATTATAAGCAAATCGGTTAGAGGGTCTTTGTGTCCCAATTACACATTCAATTTTAGCTCGGCATGGAACAAACAATTGTAAACCCGTTCTATTGTGGCTACCATTTTCGGTACCACGGCACCACGGTACCACCCACCCCTAATTGTATTAATCCGCGAAAAGCAAAAATTGCTTAACAATAAAAAAAATTAACTCCAACCACAGCCAATTGTCCCCCACCCCCCTGAAAAAATTAGCAAATCTGAAAAAGAATATAAAAGGATCAAAACCTTCGCTTCTTTTTTAAATTCCCCAATTCACTTCCTTTCTTCTTTTTCTTTCCAATGCTAACCAGAAGGTCTACACTAACGTTACTAAGAACTTCATTGACCAGTCATTCAATTCCTACAGTAAATTACACCCAGCCAATTGCCAATTCCATATTCAGACAATCTAAAATGCCTTTGGTTACAATTTCTCAATCCTTAGATGAAGCATATACCAAACATCATATTATTCCAGAAGTAATTGATAAATTTGATACTCAAGGTTTATTAACCATTGAATATAATCAACATGAACAAGTTACTTTAGGTAATGAACTTTCAGTTTCTGGAACTCAACATATTCCCAAGATTCAATTCACCCTTAACTCCCCAACCCAAGATGGAAAAATTGAATCAATTACTAATCAAGACAAATTTATCTTAGTTATGACTGATCCAGATGCACCTTCATTTCACGATAAGAAATGGTCAGAATATCTTCATTGGATAGTTGCTGATTTGAAATTAACCGATGTCGAAGCTAAAGAAGGTAATGAACCGGAAATTTCCCATACCATTGATGTTAAACAAGGTAGAGAACTTGTTCCATATATGGGACCAGGTCCACCACCAAAGACTGGGAAACATCGTTATATTTTCTTGTTGTATAAACAAGATCCTCAAGCTAATGAATTGGTTGCTCCTTCAGATAGACCAAATTGGGGCACTGGAGTTCCAGCTAGCGGAGTTAGAGATTGGATTAAGAAGAATGCACCTGCTTCGAAGTTATTGAGTGTCAATTTCTTCTATGCTAGAAACAAAGATAATTGAAGTGTATAGTTTACAATTATTATGGATTCTATGTTTATGAAATATATAAAGACAACAACTGTTTGATTTTTCTTATGCATTTTTACGTAAAGTGCTATAATCTTTCGGACTAACAACTAACCCCTTTCCCTTCTTTGCCCCTCTATAAATTGTTTCTATTATATCAATTAATTCTTGTTTATCATAAATCATAAAATTCAATTTATTATTATTCCCGGTACCAAAATCACACATCATATGTTTATTCCGATAAAAAAACATTAATGTATAAGGTTCTGTCGGATCTTGATCTAGTTCATACATTTGATTAAAATCTGGCACTTTATCTAAATTGCATAAATAAATTACGCCAAAATTTTTAATTCGTTCTGAAATTGAAAATAAAATCTCATCAATTATCATACAATCAGGTTGTTCTTCTCGACCAAATCGTATAATCACTAATCTGTCATCTTCGGATAAGATGGCTTGATCGACATGCCATCCGGTGTTTAAATGTGGAAGAAATACGGAACCCATCGGACAATCATCAGAGAAGAAGATGAATTTGTTTAAGCCGTGAAGCAAAATTTTCCGTTCTGAAATATTAGGTCGGGGTCCAACGGGCCCCGCTCTGAAATTTTCGGGTCGGTGGTACCAACTAGTACGAGACTTTTTTTGCAGCACAGGACAAGGAACTGAATATATATTACCAAATCAAATCATCCATCTAAAGAGAGAGTTAAAGGTGTACATGAGACTAATTCTTACAAGAAACGAGGGAACAAAAAGAATCAGTGGTTTATACCAAAACCTCTTATTTACGATAGAAAATCATTTCGCGGTACCTTTTCGTAAGAGCAAGATGAACCACACTTGAGCTTTTCCTTCGTTTAAAAAACGCTACCATGTGCACGAGCAGCGGCAACAATTACTCAAATGCACATGGAAGCGCTAATATCTTATTGTATTATTGGACAACTGGATACTAGACCTACAATATCCTCCTATATAATAGTATACAGCTAACCAATGTAATTGTAATTCACTAGCTAACTAGTTCCGTAATCCCAATTCCAGCTAATGGGGAAATACTCTCCTCTCCCTAACAGCACGTCGCTAAAGAGTACCCCGCTAGAACTAAAATTAGCTATAGTCCCCGTACCAGCTTGCCAGTTCAAGCTGAGAAGAATTAAGTCCATCACGGGAACCGAGGGACTTAAAGAAAGCCACAACATGCATAACTCAGAATTCAACCTTAAAGTTTTGCACACAGCAGTTACGTCATTCATAGTTCGTAGTTTTTACCTGCCCCAAACGACAAAAATTTGCCACTATTCTATTATGAATTTCAGTAGGCAAAATTCTCTCAGGTGTTTGACAAACTGAGAAGTGCTGTATGTCTATCGTTTAAGACAACAGGTTCGCATGGCTTGTCCGAGAAGTGTAACTACACTTCCACTTTCCGCTAATTGCCACTTCATCATCAATTGAAATTTGTATCGTAAAGATCTATCTGCAACCCATTGGAAAAAAAAAATCACCCATCCCCATACTCCACCCCTTAAAAAAAATCCCCCCATTTCAATTCCCCTGATTATCTGTATTTCTTTCATGACTTGTTAAAGTTTATTTAAATGATTCCATTTTTATATGACTTTTGATTTCGTATAGATACCAATCACTTATTTGCCACTTCTCTTATTATAACTAACCATCAGATAGCAAATATGTTACAATTAAAATCTAAGAAAGAATTCTTTAATGTTCTTGAGCAAGCAGAAGATGATAGTAGTATGATTGTTGTTGATTTTTTTGATAAATGTGGTCATTGTAAAGAAATGAATCATCAATTAGATGAATTTCAGTATCAATATAGAAAGAGAAATGTTAAATTCTTTAAAGTTAATATTGATGAAGATGATCAATTAGCAAGTGATTATATTATAACGTCTATACCAACTACCCTATTCTTTAAAGACGGTAAATTGGTTAATAAAGTTGTTGGTGCAAGACCTGATCAAGTCAGAAATATACTTGAAACTGAAGATTGAAGGAAAAATTACCCTTTAGAGTGGTCCCCTTTTGTCATGTGAGTTTTAATAGTATGATTGTGTGTAGGTATGTAGTATAGGATATTGTTTAGCTGGTCTACAAAGTATTAATTAAATGTATGGAAATTCTTTACACAAAAGACATAACCAATCAAATGATAAGGTCACTCCATTTACTAACAAAAATCTGGGGAGTTTTTGCTCATTGAAAATTTTTTTTCTTAGTTCTTCCATCTTACATCTCTCTTTTCAGTTATTCGCTAGACTTAACTTCTTATAGAACATCATACAAACGTACGCCAAAATGAGTGAAATCGACTTGGGAATCACTGCTGACATGCACGTCCATCTTCGTGATGGTTCGATGTCAAAATTAATAACTCCAACTGTTAGACAAGGTGGAATTGCCATTTGTTATGTCATGCCAAATTTAGTACCACCAATTACTACAAAACAACAGGTTGTTGATTATAAACATCAATTAGAAAAATTATCACCTAAAACAACTTATTTGATGTCATTTTATCTTTCAAAAGAATTAACTCCTGAACTAATTGAAGAATGTGCGAAAGAAGGTTTAATCCATGGTATTAAATGTTATCCTGCTGGTGTTACAACTAATTCAAAATATGGTGTCGATCCAAATGATTTCACGTCATTTTATCCATTATTTGAAGTCATGCAAAAACATAAACTTATTTTAAATATTCATGGAGAAAAACCATCAACTGAAAAAGAAAATGATATTAATGTCATAAATGCAGAACCAAGATTCTTACCGGCTTTAAAGAAATTACATCAAGATTTCCCAAAATTAAAAATCGTCTTGGAACATTGTACTACTAAATCTGCAGTTGATTTAGTTAGAGAAATTAATTCAAATCACAAATCAGGAGATGAAATCTACGTTGGAGCTACTATTACTGTTCATCATATGTATTTGATTATTGATAATTGGGCCGGAAATCCAATTAATTTCTGTAAACCAGTGGCAAAATTCCAAGAAGATAGAGATGCTCTTGTAGATGCAGCAACTAGTGGAGAACCATGGTTCTTTTTTGGATCAGATTCTGCCCCTCATCCAATCGAAACTAAACAAAGACATGTCGGTGTATGTGCTGGTGTATATACCCAAAGTCATGCTATTGCTTATGTTGCCGAAATCTTTGATAAAGTTGGCAAATTGGATAATTTGAAGAAATTTGTAAGTGAACATGGTATTAGTTTCTATGGATTAGGTGATGATGTTTTGGCTAAACATAAGGGAGAATCTACTTGGTTAGTTGAACGTGAAAATAAAGTACCTGAAGTATTTGCCAATTCAGATGTATCTGTTGTACCATTTAAAGCTGGCGATGTATTAAAATATGCCGTTGAATGGAGATAGGATGATCCTTTGTAGACACTTGTCAGTAATTAATTAACTATATTTATTGTAAAAGGAGCTTACGCTAAAAACGTCGCAATGTAGCCCTCTCCAAAGTACGTAATTTATCGATAAATTTGTTGCGGCCTTCAAGTCTTACCTAAGGGCAGCTAAAAAATAAATATGAACCAAACACCATGTTCTCGAAGGGGGAGTGCCCTGCATACCCTGTATTTGATTATTTCGATAAATAAATTACAAGCCTTGTTAGCTTAGTGCACTTCATAAACTGCCACAGTGGGTATCGTGACCGTGGGTATCGTACGATTCCTATTTCCTGATTTGCAACCATACTATTATGGCTTTACTTCTCCTGATATCGGTGGAAAAGCCAGCACACGTTTTAGAAAGCAGAAAAACCAAAACAAACCGCATCTATTTCCCCATGTGTCTCGTAATTACCACGGCAATACTAAGGGGTTCAAACGGCTTTCAATATTTACAATGTAATTAATTTAATTATTTTAAAACAAGATATAAAATTCGCTTAGTAATTCAGGTTCCACGTTGTAAAAACGTTATTTGACCCACGTTTTTCAACAATATGCAGAATTTGCAAAAAAACAAACCACCAAAGGCTCGAATAACCGATGTCGTATTGGAACTCTCGACTTGAAATCACAACACATGGCTACTATCAGTGCCTCGTATAGAAAAGCTTTTGCTTTTACGACGATATCTGTACGGGAACAACTTTACGTATTTAAGTTCTAACTTCTATATTTGGCAACCGGATTTATAAACGAATATTTTTTTCCAGGGTGGCTAGTGGGAAAAAAAGAATTAAAAAATTTAATGACAGAGAAATACGAACGGCTTTGTGTGTCACAAAGAGCAATTAGTGTTAAATAGAATTTTCGAAATTTTTCTATGAGTTCGTCCAACTTTTCTTTTTTGCATGTGAAATTTTTAAA